CCACACAGATTCAGGCAAACTGCAAATCAATAGTTGAAGCCGCCGTTAAAATGACGTTATAGAATCAGCAACAGAGGCTCCAATTATTTTTTATGGTTTAATGTTAAAGGAACACGCCACTATTTTTGAAAATAGGCTCATTTTCCAACTCCCCTAGAGTTAAACAGTTGAGTTTTACTGTTCTTGAATCCATTCAGCCGATCTCCGTGTCTCGCGGTAGCACTTTTAGCTTCAGCTTAGCATCATTGAATCTGATTAGACCGTTAGCATCTCGCTCAAAAATGACCAAAGAGTTTCAATATTTTTCCTATTACCTATAGCTGGGGACTATTTTTAGGCGCTGCGTAATATCATTGTGCCTGCTGCACCCATGGTACGGCAGCAAAGTTCCTTGATTATTACGCTGGAATGAGAGTATAGTGTCTAATCAGATTCAATGATCTATGCTAAGCTGCAGCTAAAAGTGCTACCGCCAGACCCGGAGATCGACTGAATGGCTTCGAAAATGGTAAAACTCAACTGTTTAACTCTAGGGGAGTTGGAAAATGAGCCTATTTTCAAAAATAGTGGCATGTTTCTTTAAAGAAGAACAGCACTTGATCCTTATGGGGCTCTGGGAGTACCTAAGACAGAAAAGTTTGGAAACACTGCATTAAAAATTTTACTTCTCTCCACATTTTGAAATGGCAGTACAATACATGTTATGTTACATATGACCATTCCCCCGAAAATATTTAATGTGGAGTAATAATAATAATGGAATACATTTGAAGGCACTGTACAATGCTGACATTGTATAGACTCCTATAGAGACTGTGTTGTATTCTCACTAGTTTGCTACAACATGCAGACCCTTTCTTCAGTGTTGCTGGAGATCTAAAACATGGGTGACATCTTGACATAGCAGAGCTCTTCATACATGCTGGATTCGCCTAGACAACAAACTGGTCTGCGACTGCAGCCTCAAGGTTAACCTGTTACTATGGAAACAAGTCAGCCAATAAAAAAACAGCAGACAGTTGCTATGTTGACTGCACCCTTTTTGTTTTAAGGATGACCTATTTTTTTTTTCCAGAGCAAGTCAGATGCAAGCTTGTGACACTCTCACAGATAAACACATGCAGGGACACAGTAAGAGAGGTAAACAGGTTACATTTTTACAAACACAAGTTCATTATGTTCTAGTAGAGGATTTGAATGAAATAAAAAAAATCCTATGACCTCCTCCATCTGTTTGTAATGTAATCTTACTGTGAAATGCGATGAGATTTTGTCTCAATGGAGGGGAATTCTTAAATACCATACCATGACAGTGAGGCAGTTGTCATAGGAACAGCATGTACCACAGTGAAAGGCTGATGTGACTGCAGCTTCAATGGCTAATTAGGGTAAACAAAGAACTCTAATGCAATCCCTCATCTACCTGAGTGTATAAACTAATCAAAGCCGGTTTAATCAGAGCCTAATCACATCCAGATTTAGAATGAGAAATGTCCTCTGGAATATTTGCTGAACCTTTTGCATTGATGCCTACAGACATCACAAAATGCAAATCAAACACAGGCACACATCTGTTTCATTTCTAAGTAAGTCAGAGAAGCAAGACTTTTGCCTATGTGAGATCTCATGTCTGTGAATCTCTTTGTTGCTGTTTAAATCCATAGTTCTTTTTAAATATCCTTATTAATACTGAACTTAGAAATATTTAGTTGCTCTTTTGCCATTCATTTGTCCCCAGAGACAGAAATATTTACTGTAAACAAATCTGCAAGTTCTTACAGATAACAGAAAAATGTGATTTTTAAATTAAATTAAATTTTTCTGAACAAGCAAAACACCAGAAATCTAATTAAAATTAGATTTTAATGCTTCTCAGTATGAGCGATCAGATCACAAGGTTCACTTAACTGTGGTAGTTGCAAATAAATATAGTATATTCCACCCTTTCTGATTTTTAATGCTATTGTCTGCGACAAATGTTTTCAGATGAGGATGCTGCACTCATGAAAAACCTTAGAGAAACATCCATTGCTAAAATCTTGTGCATAGTGTTTGTGTTGTTACTCTGACAACCAATGTGAATGCACACTTATAAGTATCATATTATTGTAGTTAGCACTACAAATGTGTTTACCAAAAAAATGTATTGTTCCGGTAAGTGTCCACCACAATCTCATAGCAATTCATAAGTATTTCAAACTATAATTCATATGAATTCATACAATCTCATTTGTATGTTTCTATAAGACCTGCTTAAATCCCATTGATAGTTAGGTTTAAAGGTTGGGGTGAATCTTCATGTTTACTTTTTTCAAAAGTGTACATTTTCGTACACTTAACATTATTCAAATTCATATGTAATCGGCACCTTGCAAAAATCTTACATTTTTCCTTGAGATCGTACTGTCTGAGCACTTAGTGGTATTGTCTCTTTAGAAAATTAATAGATGGCTTATTGTGAGAAAACACTATGTAAATGCTATATGCTTTGTGTTTTTTGAAGTGCTACTTTATTTAAAAAAGTATAAACTTGACCCGACATTTTATGAATAGTCATTTTGATATAAAAACATTACAATCTTTTGCACATTAGTACTTAATTACACAGCTTTAATACACACCACCCTGTTGTTTGATAAGCAAACGCACAACATTAGCTGCCACACTAAACTCAACTGGTCTTTGAGATACACAGTATAGCTAAAATGATGTGGAAAACAAAAAATCCCAAAGCACATAATCAAAACTCACAGAGATACTGCTGAGATAATTTTTCACCAGAGAAAAATCATTCCAAAAGGACAACCGGAAAGAAACAAATACTTTCAGGAACACCAAGAGCAAATTCCCTCCCCCCTTTTATGCATTTTCTTCTGTAATTCTTCTTGTAACATATTTACAACATTGCACCAATGTTTGATAGCAACGAGGGCTTAGACAAGCGGTTTGATTATATTTGGTTGACCTGAGCCCCTTTATGTGCGCTCCAGTCATTTGGGATAATTTAATCCAGATCACATTAGAATCAGATTCAAAGACATCAAGAGACAGTGGCCAAAGTCCACAAGTCCATAGACTTACAGGGCGACATACACTCATTTTAATTCGCTTAGTCATTGTACCTTTTTTAATCTCCCATTATTTCCATATAACATACAGGAGATTTTTTGCAACAATCTAATGTATGTGATTCCATTCAGAAACATCCTGACTGTTTCTGAAATGATGGGGGAAAGGGATTGTCTATGATACATTTCTTCTGACCAATTGTGTTATATTCCTAACTGTCCAGTTTTTTATTTAGAGAGTCCTCCTCGAGTCCTCATTGGTCTCCCCAGTCCTGAAGCGATTCACTTTGTGCTCTTTCTCAGATAAAGAAAAAGGCATATAAATCAAACAATCCACCGACAACAGCAAGAAATAAACCATTCTCTGATACCACAGGACAGTGCTAGTTTCACTTTTCTTTCTTTTCTTTTTTTATCCCTTTACAAGGGTATTTTTTTCTTAAAAGCATGCATCTTTTTAATCAGGCAAAGTGCATAAACAGTATTGACAAAGAAAAACACTTACTTTACCGCATTGAAGTGCTGTGGTGACTTATGTGACAGTTTGAATTGATGTGTGACCAAAACAAGAAAATAACATGAAAAGACATTGGGGGTCATAACGTTTTGTGTGCAATTATTTCATATTTTTGTTCACTGTCCCTGAGCTTTTGCTTATTCTCTCCATGATCTTGCTTTATTGACAATTGCAATTTACAATCTATTACTTTGAACACATTTTAAATGTTCTCTTCAATTTCATAAGTGCACTGTCTCAGACAGATGACATGCTAAGCATGAGATATTTGTGCTTAAGAAAATACTTTCTTGGCGTACAGGATCTGTTTGACCAATTGAATTAGAATCTTTATTTTAGCTCTAAAATGTATTTTTTTTTTTACATAAATAGAGGCTGTGACATTACAAAAATAGGGCCATGTGTTTCCTAAAGCTTTTAGGTAATAGATAGCGTTTAGCCATTTTAAAATAGGGCTCTTCTATGAACAGATTAAATAAAGGCTTTTTGTCAATATATGATATTTTGCTTGGCAATAGCTTTTGACTGGCTTTCTAATAATGTTCACTTTCTGCATATACATTTTTTTTAAAACCAGGGAATGGTACTTTGCTAAGGGCATCTATCCAAATAATTTTTTTCCTTCTTCTCAGAGGGCCACGGGAACACTATTAAACTGTGCTTCTTATCAGGTTACTTTTGTAATAGACTTGTGCTCTATTTTTTTCTACTTTGGGATTTTCTAGGTATCAAATGCAAGTTTGACCCGCAATTCCGATGGTCACTTTGTCCTTAAAGGCAGAGTAAGTGATTTCTGGTAGCCAATGTTGATATTTGAAATCA